TCGGCCAGGCCTTCCGGTCGGTGATTGGATCCCCCTTCCGGCCCGTCATTTAGGTACTTGGGCCGGCCCGTGAGTTTGCTTGTTGTTTGCAACGTTGCCTGCTGGGCCGAGCCTTTGTTGGAAAGCCGGTCCACGTAGGACCCCGGGTTTATGAAACCGACAGTGTGACTTTTTTGTTATTATGCAATCTTGCTTTGAGATGTGATGGCCCATGGCTTTTGATTTGTAATGCCATGGTTTATCAATTTCAAACAATACCACTAAAAGAATCTAGGTGCGCTTTCAATCTGAACAGACGGCCTACTGCACGGTTATGCTTTATGGTTATTTGTTTTAACCGAGACGTTTTTTAGTTGGTTTTAAACTTTTGACTCTAAAAGGACCACTTTTTCCAAAAGTTCTAACCTTTTTTTTACAATCTTCTTTGGGATGTCATGGCTGATGGCTTGAGTTGTAATGTCTCTAGTTTTAAGCAGTGCTGAAAAACAAATAAAGCAGGTATACTACATCAGCGACCTCTTGCTGGCATCGTGAGACTGATACATGTGAAATTCCACACGTCTCATGTCCATTGAAGCCAACTCCTTGCCCTTCCTTTCAGTGATTGAGCGATCAAACATTATTCTTATCTTTTCTTGAACTGTCACCCAACTGGTATTTGACACAACCGAATGATCAGGTGACTTTTTTGTGTTTTCATTTTATCTCTGTCACTGCATAATCCAAAAAAGATTATAAAAGGATGTGACTTTTTTTTGTTGGGCAACCTCACTTTTGGATACCATATCATAGCTCATGGCGTTTTGAGCTCAATTCTACAGTGTCTATAATGCCTCTGATAATTGTGGTGAATATATTTGTTCTGATGGGCTCTTCTTTTTTATGGTTGTTGCTAATATTTAGAAGCAAAAATGGTATTTTTGATGTCCTTTGTGTTAATAGTATGAATTACTACTAGAACATAAGTAGCTAACAGCTTATTCATTTTTAGTTTTTCCAAGAAGCCCTCGTATCCAAGTATATTTTGGTAGAGATGATGATGCTTAATCACGTACATTCGAGTTCTAGAAGCCACTCATCACTTCACAAAGCACAAACCGCTTGGACTTTTGAGGATGCCATCTATGAGCAGCGGTGAATTGAAAGAAAATCTTAGGATTGTTCTTCCTCTCTCGCTTGCTCCCTTGCGCTCTCTCTGTCATGTCCAAATGTCACATCTGATTAAGTTAGCCGCAGCTTGGACTTTTGAGGATGCCATCTAGTCCATCGTGGATGTTTCGAGTTGGAATTTTTTTGTACTATTAATTGTTTTTCTTTGACATTCACTGATCTTCTGCACAGAAACAGGAGAAAATGGAGATGAGAGGAATATAGGTTGAAACAGCATTGCTGCATATATATGAAAGATTTTTTTTCTGAACTTTTCCTCATCACTGTCTAATGGACGTGCCTTCTACTTCTGCTCCTACTAAATGGACGTGTCTTCTATTTCTGCTTCTCTTCTCAGAATGTGAATACAAGGAGTAACTAAATGGCAGTTGGCACATACATCTTTGTACTGCTTTATTAAGGATCTAGAGTCATTTTTTAATATGCTTCAGGTTCATCGATCGTCGTCATCAGTACATTCCTCTAGCTCTGATTCTTCTCCAGTTTGGCTCTTCTTGCCAAGAGAGCAAATCGAGTACATGTACATTGATTGCTTGGACATTATTAGTTGGTGGAATGTTTTCAGCCAGTGAGGCCTCATGTAGATATAGGGAGTTGTATTAGTATCAAACTTGCATATTTTCGTTTCATTGGCACTTCCTATTCTCTTGTATCTATCTAGGTAGAGAGTCCATGGCAGCATGTTTGTAGCTGCATCACTTTTGTCGGCAGCTAATTTAGCAGATGATTGTTCTGATAAAGCAGGCAGCAATCAAACAGATGTGCAACACATCTACCGAAGCAAAGTGTATCGGACCACGTCTAAAACATGCATCGACAAAATAGTGTAAATAGAGCTATGCACTGCAGTGCAGGAGGCCACACAATATATGTGCAGGCACGACGAAGCGCGCCCACTTTTCTTGTATATTGAAACAGGGGAACTCGGCCTCGGCCAGGGCCTTCCGCCGCCGGCTCGAAGCGAACTGCGCAATCGGTCTCCGCCTGGCCTTACCGTCGCCACCATCAAGCCCTTCTATCGCTGATAAACAGCAGTAACCAAGTTCGTTGTCCACTGCAGTCTGACCATGCCCGCCGTTCTCTACAGGTATCTCCCAATCCTGCAGTCAACACTTGAGTTATGATAGTGTCGATGATTTGCACTGTATCTACAACTAATGGTCATTAGATACATAGAAAAATGGTATCTGACATTGATAGTATTAAAGTATTACAAGCATTTAAAAGAGACTATCCGATTTCATACATCACACAACACTAAACGAGGGGGAACTAATGGTCATGAGATACATAGAAAAATGGCATCTTTACAAGTATTACAAGCATTTGAAAGAGACTATCCGATTTCATACTTCACACAACACACAAGGGGGAAAATAGAAGAATACGGTCAGTCTTAACTGAAATCTTTGGCATAAAGGTTGTTAATTTATACTACCACATATGCCAAAAGGTTTTCGGGGTATGGGCTTTAGAGATCTTCGGTTGGTGAACCAGCCTTTGTTAGCAAGACAGGCATGGCGGTTGATCTTCTACCCTGAAAGTCTTTGTACGAGAGTGCTGAAAGCTAAGTACTTCCCACAAGGGAATTTATTAGACACGGTCCCTACAAGAGATGCCTCCCCTTCGTGGAGGGGAATAGAACATGGATTGGCCCTTCTAAAGCAAGGGGCAATATATAGAGTGGGTGATGGAAAGAGCATTCGCATTTGGCGTGACAATTGGATCCCCAGAGAACACGGGTTGAAACCTGTGGGACGTGTTCGGCACTGCAGGTTGAGGTGGGTTTCTCATTTGATTGATGCTCAATCTGGATCATGGGATGAAATGCTGGTGAGGAGATATTTCTATGCCTGTGATGTCGAGGAAATACTGAAGATTAAAATTCCCCGCAATGCTTGTCCGGATTAGGTGGCTTGGAATTTTGAAAAGACCGGTATCTTTTATGTGAGAAGTGCATATAGACTGCCTATGAGAAGGGAGCATGCTGAAGGGGAGATTGGCAGCAGTTCTACCCCTGCTGATGGGAGAAAGGTGTGAAATACCTTATGGTCTCTTAATGTCCCTAAAAAAGTTAAAGTTTTCACGTGGAAAATTGCCAACAATGGGATTCCTACTCAAGCTAATAAGTGTTATCGACATATTGCTCCCCAAGCTACCTATGAGATGTGTGGTCACTGGAGTGAAGATTGTTTCCATGCTTGTGTGCAATGCCCTCACGCCGTTGCCCTACGTCACGCTGTGAGAGAGCATTGGGCGCTGCCGGTTGAGGAGGACCTAGTGTTTACTGGACCCGATTGGTTATTAGTCCTCATGAGCAGATTCGCGGCAGAGGTGAATGCAAACTTGCTTATGCTCTTGTGGAGGGTTTGGAGTGTACGCAACAGCGTCCTGCGCGCCGGACAAAAGGTTTATGTGGAGGGGTCCATCGTTTTCTTGACACGATACGTGGACTCTCTTCTACAATGTCGTCAAGGAAGCGCGCAACATGATACTAAGGGGAAGCAATGTCACTTGTGGGGAACATGCGCCCCTCTGCAGCTGATCGACAGGTTCAGAAGCGGTAGAGCCCTCCGCCGCAGGGTTCCTTGAAGATTAATGTTGATGGCGCCTTCATCCCTAGCTCGGGGGCAGCTGCTGTGGGTGTGGTGATCAGAGATCATGCAGGTCAAGCAAAATTGGCATCATGGCGTGTGCTTTTCATATTGCAGGGATGTTGAGGAGGCGGAAGCTGCTGCATGCCGCGAAGGGATTACACTTGCTGCGCGGTGGCCACATACTCATATGATGTTGGAAACTGATTGTGCTGTGGTGGCCGCAAATTAAAAGAACACTGATCAAGACCGCTCGGTGGGCTGGTTTCTGGTGCGTGAAGCACATATTGCTATGGAGGAGTTGAATAGTTTAGACATCGTTAAAATTGGTAGGAGTCAAAATAATGTAGCGTATGAACTTGCTCATTTTGCAATTAGGTCGGGTTGCAGTGAGGTCTTTTTTTCTTCTTTTCCTGAGTTTGTTTTGTCTCTTCTCTGCAATGATACTCCTTAATTATTAATAAAGTTTTTGTTCCAAAAAAAATAGCTTGACGTTTCCATCACTTTCTTCATAAATTCCTTTGACCCAATTGATGATTGAAACATTGGCCAAGCCAATCGGCTGTCAGGTAAGGCACTGAACTAGGTGGTGTTTCTTTTGTATTTTGGCGTAGTGTTGACACAGACACACTACTAGTAGAGATAAAAAGACGTTTTACAGCTATTTAAAGGGGGTGAAGAGATTGAGAGCTATTTAAGGGAGGGTGAAGAGATTGACATAGATTTCATAGTTGTTTTAACCAAACAGCTACAGCTTTTCACAACACATTGCTCACAACAGCTTTTTTCATATAGCTCTGAAACAAACAGAACCAAAATTGTTGGTGCTACAAATCACGATAGGCAACAGAGGCTCACAATGTTTAGTGGTTGCTGGTTGCCAATGTTAAACCTTATCAAGATAACATGTTAAAGGGGCACCCAATAAATTGACATCGTCACATTTAAATCCAATCCACTCGAGGCACACCACCCGAATTGTAAGCCTCATCTTCAGAATTTCAGAAATAAACAACCCAAAATCAAGGAAACAACAAAGAAAGTAGAATCACAGCTTAGATACGATTTAACTCACATACTTCCAACAAAACAGCATAATTGTGCAATGCTTAGCTTTGAATTCTAGAGCTGGAACAGAACAAAATGTCTTGGGTATGTAACTTGTTCAAAACAAGTAGCAAAGCTGAAAGGACAATGCCACTGGACCCTTGGGACACTACAGATCTGGGTAACAGCTCATTTGAGAGGGATAAACCGCGACGAGTGGGTGGCACCGATACCGGGCCTACCGTGCTTGACCGGCTTGTAGGAGATGGAGAACTCTGCGAGATAGTGGCCAATCATCTCAGGCTTGATCTCAACCTGGTTGAAGGTCTTGCCATTGTAGACACCGACAATGCTTCCAATCATCTCAGGAACAATGATCATGTTGCGGAGATGGGTCTTCACTGGCTCTGGCTTCTCACCAGCAGGAGCATCCTTTTTCTGTTAACAGCAGTGACAGATAACTAGTGAGGAAATTGAGTGTCAGGAGCATCCTTTTTCCAAACATGCCATCAGATCAATCAATAAAGAAGTGCCACAAAAATACTGTACATTCAGGATAGAAAATTTGATCTATCATCATCCCAATAGTCTTCAACAGACACAACAATACTATAATTGGGGCAAGGCAGGTTGTGAGACAGCAGGCTATATAACGAAAAAAAAGAAAACTATGCACCGTACAGTAAGCAATTCAAAAGTTAGTTACAAGTTTTTAATCGACAAGTTTATATTTGTCTATAATCCCAATTAAAAACCAACAGAACAAATGACATAAGAGCTCTTAAAAAATACAGTAATTAACCCTGCTAGACATAATAAGATTCACAATTCATAATCGCAATACTCAGTGCTAGCAACTTATTTGCTACACACCACAACACACGGTGCTAGCAACCTTATTTGCTACACATTCAAGCTACAGGCTAAGTCGCCAGAAAACCCAGGGACGCATGAGTTTATAAGATTGGCGAGTATCATGAATTTCCTTTATAATACAGAGTTATTTGAAGCAACCCCCTCCCCCCAAATAAAAAAAAATAGCCCCAGCTCCACCACTGAGAAAACCGGCCTTCTGATTCAATCAACTGCATATCCTTCCAAGTGCAAATTTACAGTAAATGTAACACTACAACCAAATAGAAAATCTACAACCATAGCCACTGGAATTTGGTGAAAGTACATTTTGCGAAACCAAGTTCACAAAAAAAAGCATGCCACACCACAATCATACAGATCGAAAATTCAGAAAACACGCATCTAAACATTTCTAATTTCTCGAATGCTTATAGCTAAATACGAAAAACAAGCATGCAAAAAAAATACGAGAATAATCTAATAAGCATCATATAATCATGAGAGCATAACAGATCCACGCAATTGTCTAGATGGGGCCACACTAAACGCTAACAAAAAGAGGTAATGAAAATTAAGCGGTTGGACACTGACCGCCTTGCGCAGCTTCTTGATGAGCGCCATCGGCTTCCTCTTCAAACCCCTCTGGAACCTACCAAAACAAACACATCACATCAGATCTCTGCAACCCAAAATCCCACGGAAACAAACGAATCGCGGCACGAAAGGTACCTTCTCCTGGCGCGCGCGGAAAGAGCTGGACGAGGTCGTCGGTGGACATGTCAAGCAGCGCATCGAGGTCGACGCCGCGGTAGCTGTACTTGCGGAACGTCCTCTTCTTGGGAGCGCCGGCGGCGACCTCCGGCTCCACATCGACGTCCGCCTGCGCAACACGAATTAGTCCTTGTGCGGGTCATAGGGACGCGCTGGATCTTGGCGCTGGATACAGTTTTGGCGGGCAACTCACCATGGTTGAAGTTGAAGCTGGTCGGTGAGGTCGCGGGGCGCGGCGGCGGCGGGCGATTCGCGGAGGCGCAGGCGGGTAGGGTTTCGAGAGAGGTGCGCGTGGGAGTGGGAGCTTATATAGAGCTGCGCTCGGAGGTGAGGCCGTGAAGAGCGTTCGTCCAGTTTAGTGGCCTGGCCTAGATGGATGTTGGGCCGGATGGTATTCATGAGTGGGCTGAAAATACATTTCTTGTGGAGTCTAACTCTACCTGGCTCCTTATGGTTATCTGGGCTGGGCATCCCGGTGCCTGTCGCAGGCATAGCCTGTTTTTATAATAGAGTTTGTCTGGTTTTTAGAACCGCCTTTTAGCATTTGTAATTCTGTTGACCAAGTACATCAATAAAGAGGGTGGTGATTTCTAAAAAAAGCAAACATGGATTAGACGCTGATTATTCTAACTTATACGAGTATATAAACTGAAAATCTTTTCCTCAAAAAAAATATAAACTAAAAATCTAGATCAAGAACAAGATATGAAGCTCTATGAAGACATTATGGGAAGTAAAAATATGGTTGAGAAAATGTGTTCATGACTTCAATATTAGCGATAGAATCCAGTAAAAATATGAGCTGGACCTACATGTTCATGGATCAGGTCAAAATTGAGCAAGGTAATGGAAGAATCCAATAAAATACTAATAGAATATTAGATTGGATTATAAGATGATGGAATGACAAAACAAACAGCAAGATGTGCAAGAATTGTCTTTGTGTAGAATGAAAATAGGGTAATTGCACTTGGTGGTGGTGATGTGGATAGCTTTTACACTTAGTGGGTGATGGTGTGGACAACTTTAGCATTTAGTGAGGATGACATAGATAGCTTGCATTAAAAGATTGGAAGTTAGTAGGGGATGACGTGGATAGCTTGTACTAGTTGAGATTGAAAGCTAGTGGGTGGATGATGTGGCAATTAGTGGGGAATGACGTTGGTAGTTTGCATTATAGGATTGAAATCTAGTGGGGTTTGTTTTTTTTATAAGATGCTAGAAGGATACCCCCTGCGTTCCTAAGGGGATAGATAGTTTGGAATGGAACTTGGACAGTCGATGGTTATTGGCTTATGTGTCATTCATTAGTATGGATAGTGTCCATGAGGTGGTAGACTATTATAAATGAATGTTAGTGTATGATATGTTCATCGATGTAGGCATTGTGACCGGCTGACGTAGATGGCTTGCATGAAGATATAGTTATCATAATTGCATGCTAGTGGGCTGCTGATGTGGATACTTTGCATGGAGAGATAGATATATATAGTGGTGCTTGTTTTTATAAGATACTAGAAGGATAACTCGCGTGTTGTAGCAAGATATTCTTAGATCTATTTTTTAGGAAAGATTTTCCTAGAGCTATTGTATGTATGAGCTAGACCTACATGCTATTTCATTGATTCAGACCTCTGGTCTTGCGCAAGTTAATGGAACAATCTAATAAAAATAATAGGATATTGAGTTAGTTTCGGTGGGAGTTCCATTCGGGTTTCATCTACATTTAATAGGTTGTCACATAAGCATTTTTATGGCATGGCAAAAAATTTAAGAATATAGAGAAAAACTAAGTTTCATGTAGACGAAACTCTCTCAGTTTGGTTTGTGACTTTATATGAGTCATAAAACTCAATGTTTATGAAACAATAGAACCAAGCTATGCATTGAGAGTAGTTGTTTCATCCATGTTTCATTGTTGTTTCATCCATGTTTCATTGTTGTTTCATCCATGTTTCATTGCGTTCTATATGACGTGACATTCTTAAAAAAATAACGCTATGAAATTCTCCAATGAGAATGACCTTAGATCAAAGAATAACATGATGGGGCAACCAAACAAATTTCATGGTGTGGATGACTTTTATTTTGATAGAGTGAAAATTGTAGTTACAATTAGGATAATGTGGAAAGGTTTTGCACTTGGTGGGGTGTGGATAATTCTAGCATTTAGTAGGGGATGATGTGGATTACTTGCGTGAAGAGATTGAAAGTCGGTGGAAGATGGTGTGGCATCTAGTGAGGAATGACGTGGATAGTTATATGTTGAGATCGACAGATATAGTGGGGTTTACTTTTATAATATAGTAGAATGATACCCCACACATTGTTGTGGGACTTTCTTATAAATAAAATTGTTGTATGTATGAGTTAAACTTACATCTTCTTATATTCACTCTTATCAAAATTTAGAAAATGAATGAAAGAATCCAATAAAAAACTAATAGAATTACATTAAAATATAAGATGATGGAACAGTAAAATAAATAGTAATATATCGATGCTTTATATATTTCTTATATAGTGAAAGTAGTAAATGCGCTTAGTAGAGTTGGCATGGATAGCTTGTGTTAAGATGTTGTAAGTTAGTATGATAACATGTTATTAGTGGAAGATGACGTGGATAGTTAGTGGGACATGATTTAAGCTTACATGTTCTTATATTCACTCTTATGAAAATTGGGCAAGGCAATGAAAAAATTAATAAAAAACTAATAAAATTAGATCGAACTATAAGATGATGGAACGGTAAAACATATAGCAATATATGAATACCTTATGTATTTCCTATATACTGAAAGTAGTAGCTGCGCTTAGTAGTTGACATAGATAGCTTGTATTAAGATGTTGTAAGCTATTGGGATGACATGGCTATTAGTGGAAGATAGTGTGAATAGTTAGTGGGAGATGACTTGCTGTTGAGAGAGAATTTGTAGTGGGGGTTAGCTTTATATAGATATATATGATGAATTTTTCTGTGCGTTTTTTTCGGTACGCACAGAAAAATTACGATTATTCTGTCGGTTCTAAAATATCCCGACAGAAAAATACGAAAACCCACAAAATAATTATATGATTTTTCTGTGCGTGACAATACACACACGGAAAAATCATCACTCACAAAAAAATTCAATTTATTCTGCCAGTTCTTTAAAAACGCACAGAAAAAATATATATGCACACATAGAAAAATATATGCACGTATAGAATAAATAAAAAAACAAAGAAGTCCTAACCCCTAACCCATCGGCCGCCGTGCCACCCCGGCGGCCGGCCCCGGCCCCTGCCCTCCTTGCCCCGTGCCGCCTCGGATCCACCCCGGATCCGCCGCCTCCTCTCCTCCCACCGGCGGCCAGCCTCGGCCCCTCCCCTCCTTGCCCCGCGCCGCCCGGATCCATCGCCCCGCCCTGGCCCCTCCCCTCCTTGCCCCGCGCCGCCCTGGATCCGCCACGCCGCCCCGGATTCGCCGCCTCCTCTCCTCCCGCCGGCGACCGACCCCTCCCCTCCTCTCGTCCCACCGGCGGCCGGCCCCGGCCCTCCCCTCCTTGTCGTCGCCCCGGATCCGCCCACGGTGGTCGTCCCCGCCTAGAGCGCAGCTGTAACACCCCGAGTGTTTAAATACTAGAAACAGGGCATGTCATCATATGCATTGCAAGGCATTTGGTCATATTGCAAACTTTGATATGCATTCACTAAAACAAGTTTACATTTATGTTATGAGTGTTGCCTTGTATGGTTTGAATTGAGTTCAAAGTTTGGTTTGGATTTGAAGTTTCGAAAACCCTGATTTCCAACGATTAGTTTTGACCCGAAAAACCCATTTCAAAAACAAAGCACATTTTGGGGTTGAGCCTTAAAGCAAAAGTGTAGAGCTTGTCAAGTTATACAAAGTTTGTTTTTGGAGTTTTCAAAGTTGTTATGAAAAATTTGAAGTAATTTGAAAAGGCAAAATTCTTTAAATGTCCCCAATTTGAATTCAAATTTGCATTTCAAAATGTAGGCCAAATTAGGGGGTGGTTATAAAAGCAAAGTTGTAGAACTTTTGATTTTGAACAACTTTTATTTTTGGAGATTTTTGAGCTGTTACACAAATTTGGGAGTAATTTGGAAATTTAGACGGATGGCAATTCTGTAATTAAAGTGAATAGTGCTCACCGCTTAAGCTACATGGCCGGTGACCTTCTTCGGCGTTCCTGGCGCGTCGTGGCCGTCTATGGTGTCGCGCTGGCACGGGAAAAGGCTCCATCGTGGCTTCCTCTGGCTTCCTGGCCGTCCTTTAAAAGTTGAGACGCTGTCGTCGTCGTTCTTTTCTCCCCCTCTGTTTTCACCGCCACCGTCGTTGCCATAGCTCCGTTGAGCTTTTGCTGTCGCCGTAGCACCTTCCAATCCTCGGTAACGCTTGCCACAGATCCGCTGGTTCCTTGCGCACTCAGCCGAACCATCCTTGACGCTTGCCTCCACCGAGAACCCGCTGTCCACGTCTTTCTTCCTCGCGGCCGGCAACCTCACCGTCGCGGACGTGTCATCGTGGCCAGAGCTCTTCGGTGAGCTTTTGCTTCTGCTCAGCGTAGCTCCAGACCATAGACAAGCCATACCGGATCACCCGTAGAAAAGCTCTATTGGCCGTCAACCGTAGCCGGTGCAGAAAAGCTAGTCTGCCATTGTGAAGGTTGTCAGATCTTCGCCAGGAGAACCCACGTACTAGCACACGAGATTCAGACAATACCAACTTCTTGGCCCTTCGCATGCTGGGGACTGGATATGATCGGGCCTTTCAAACCGGCCCCTGGGAAATTTACATGCGTCTTGGTGCTGATCGACAAATTTTCCAAGTGGATAGATTACATACCCCTGGTCAAGGCAGACGTATTTTACTACTATGCTCCTTTCATCGCAGAAGTCCCAAAAAGCGTTCTCGGTGAACTGAGTACCTAGATCAGTGATGATGCTATTGGGTATGCCAAAGCGGTGGATGACCTGGTCGATGAATGTGATAGCCTTTTCTGGGTGGCGCACCCTAGAGCTAATGGACAGGTCGAGCGGGCAAATGCTATGATCTTGGATGCACTAAAGAAGAGGATGTACAGAGAAAATGACAG